AATCGAAAAGATTTTCCTTTCGCAGCATGAACCTTCGATAAATATGTTTACCTAAATTTACTATTTTTCCAAGCAGAAGATGAAAACGATTTAATTTAATTTTTTTTTTTTTTCTCAAGAAGAAGAAGAAGAAGATGAAGAAGAAAAAGAAGAAAATTCAATTTCACACCGAATTTAAAATTTTTTTTTTTTAAAATTACGTTTAACTTATTATTATTATTATTATTAATTCTTTTATTACATCACCGACCGACGGTGGTACTTTTTTCCTTGAAAAATAAAAAAATTTTAACGAGGGTCAAATTTTTTTTTTTTTTTTTTTACTAACCTTTTAATAACCGACGACATCGTAAAAAAAAGGAAGGAATAAATTTTCCCCAAAAAAAAAATTTTCTTTTTCCAACACCCACGTGACGTCACTTCAAACTCCTCGTTGATCTCTCCTGTTCAAATTAAAAAAAAAACTAAAATAAATACAATTATTATTATTGTTATTATTATTATTATTATCATTTTTAACGGTTTTTTTTTCCGTATTGTTAAAATTGAATCTCTCCCTCCCTCCCTCCCTCTCTCCCTCTCTCTCTCTCTCTGATTTCTTTAAATAAAATAAAAGAGGAAATTTTATTAACCTTGTCGAAGGTTAAAGTTCATTTTTAATTAAAATTTATAAATGTCAATACTATAAATAAGAAAAACTATTAACAAAAAAAATTACAGCATCTTTGTCGTCAAATAAAGAGAAAGAGAGAGAGAGAGAGAGAGGGGAAGAGGGAGGAAAAAGAAGAAGGAAGAAGAAGAGGAGAAATAAAATTGTGAAAAAAAAAAGAAAAATCGAGTAGAAAATGATGATTTAAAGTAATTTCCCGTAATTTTCTTTGATTTATCGATGGAAAAATTGACGGTGAAAAAAAAAAAGGGAAAAAAGGGTTCGTAAGGATTAACGCGAGTTTATTACAAAAGGTTTTCTTTTTCTATCTTTTTTTTTTTTTATAAAAAAAACCCGGAAAAGGATTAACACGTACAGAAGAAAAGATTTAATTCTTTTTTTATCTCCCCCTTCCCCTCTCCAACCACCCCGTTGATTATTTAAGACCCAAATGAAAACGACTCCGGTTTTAAAAGAGAGAGAGAGAGAAAAGAAAGAAAAAGAGAGAGAGATAGAAAGAGAGAGAGGGAGAGAGAGAGAGACAAAGAAAGAAAGAGAGAGAGAGAAAAAACATTTTTTAAAATAGATAAAAATCCTCACGTTTAAATAATTCGTAGCCGACATCCGCCATTTTTTTTTATTTTCATTTTACCCGCGGAAATCTTTTAATTATTATCATTATTTTTTCTCTCTCTCTCTCTCTCTCTCTCTTTTGAATTTATTTCTAAATTTATAAAAATCATTTCCTTTCCCCCTCCCCCTCTCCCTCCCCTCCCCTCTTCCCACTTGTCGACACCCACGAAAAAAAAAAAAAATGAAACTCATCGGAAAATAAAAAATGGCGGATTTTGTTTTATTTTCATTTAAAATAAATAAACGCGAAAATGTTATTTTTCTTATTTACGCCTTATTATCAATAACACAACAACAACAACAACAACAACAACAACAACAACAACAACATCAGCCACAATAATAATAATAATGATAAAGAACGTATCATTATTATTTTTACAATAACAAAAAAGTTGTTTTATTAAAAAAAAAAAAAAAAAAATAATAATAATAAGGTTATGTTTATTATTTTTGTTTCTTTTTTTAATAGTTTTTTCTTTTTTTTTTAGTTTTTAGTTTTAAAAAATTTTTTTTTTAAATTAAAAATAAAAATAGTTATGACGTGAAAAGATTATTAGAGTAACGGAATAAATAGATTTAGTCGTAATAATAATAATAATAATAATAATAATAATAATTGTCTCGAATGGATTCGCGTGAGATGTGAAATATGAAATTGACAAACGATCAAGTTTTAAATGTGTAAAAAATTATTTTGTTGTTGTTGTTGTTGTTGTTGTCGTAGTCGTTGTAGTGATTAAAGTGTGTGTGTGTGTGTGTGTGTGTGGTACGTTAGTTAACATTTTATATTGTCTTCCGGTCATTTCGCGTCATGTTTATGTTTTTAACACGTCCAGTCATTCTGGGATGATTCCAGGAATGGAGGAATTCATGTGTTACCGCGTCCTTTGTCATTAAAGTAAAAAGGTGTGTCCATTTTTTCTGTATTTAGATTTAAAAAAAAAAAAAAACTCGGACAAGAGCATGAAAATACCGCCGCCATGATTAAAAATGAAAATAAGTAATAATAATAATAATAATGATAAAGTTCAATTATATGAAGATTAAAAATTAATATTATGAAACGAATCAAAAATTGCAAAATGAAAGAAAATGAGAAATGAGATGGAAAATTAATGAGAGTGTGCGTGCGTGCGAGAGAGAGAGAGAGTATGATGAAAAACTATTAGGAATTTTTTTTTTATTTACATAGTTTGAAAACATTAAATACCTTTTGAATGATAATTAAAGTGTTAAAATATCCTTTTTTAAAAGTTTTTCTTTTTTTGGGAAAAATTGTTTTAGAAAAGGTAAAAATTCGAAAAAAAGGTTTAAACACGTGGAAAATTATTATTATTATTAATGATCGTAAAGCTATAGAACCTACTCTCTCTCTCTTTCTCTTTCTCTTTCTCTCTCTCTCTCTCTCTCTCTTTCTCTTTCTTTCTCTCTCTCTCTTTCTCTTTCTCTCTCTGTCTTTCCTTTTCATCTTAGAGATAGATTTTTAAATTTTTTGACAGGTTTTCTTTTTCCCCACCCTTCCTACATCTTTCACCCCTTAATTACCCAACGAATGTCTTAACGGAAGAAGAAAAAACGAGGGGGAGGGAAGGGAAAATGTCGCAATTTAGTGAGAATAACGTTCGATTAACCTCGAACGTTAAAAATGTTTTCTATCTCTCTCTCTCTCTCTCTTTATTTTTCATATATATAATTCGATACGTTCGATTTATTTATTTATTTTTTCACTCACCTGATTTTTGTCATCGTCCTTTGTCGTTTTCCTTTTGAATTTTTCCTTTGAATTTTCTTCTCTTTTTCCGTTTACCTTTCGTAATGTTTTCTTTTTTCATCCTCAATAATAATTGTTCTTTTTTTTTAATGTCAACCGTACATAATTTTCCTGTGGAAAACAAAAACAACATTATTATTATTATTATTTTACATTCGGTCATTTTAATTATGTTTTCAATTACTTTTTGTTTAACTTGGAAAAACAAGAAAATTTGTTTTTTTTTTTTTAAACGTCACGTAATTTAACATTTGATGACAAAGCATCGAATTCTTTTTTTTTTATTTTCCCTCTCTTTGTCTTTCTCTCTCTCTCTCTTTCTCTTTCTCTTTCCTTTTTTTTTTTTTTAATTTTATTACGTTTCACCTGACGTGTAATGTCGTAAAATACAAAAGGGAAATACACAAATACCCAAAGGAAATTTTTCATTTTCATTTTGACGTAAAAATTTATTTGAGTAAATATATATATACTTACATATTGATTTTTCGATTGTCTTCAACTGTGAACATGTCAGGAGTGGGGAGGAAGGGGAGGGGAGGGGAAACGCCACGTTGTCTTTGTTAATTATTTCTGTTTTGAATTTTCTCCTTTTCTTTCTATTCTTTCTTTTTATACTCCTTTGTAAAATTTGATTTCTCACCTCCCCCTCTCTCTCTCTCTCTTTATCATCACATAAACTTTTCAAATTTTAAATTATTTATTAATTTCCCTTAAAAAAAATTTTATTATAATCTTTAACTTGTAACCTTTCACGTTCGTGTATCATTTTATTATTATTATTATTATTATTTTTTAATTTAAATAAATTTTAATTTTATTCATGTCGATCAAAATAAAAAAGGAAAAGAGATAGATAGCATCACATACATCATTCATTCACCGTGACAGGGGAGTAAAAGAAGAAATCAAAGATTTGAAAATTTTTTTTTAATAACTTTAATCTTATAATACGCCGTCTTCTGCTTTTTTTAATAAACATAACATCTATCGATTTATGTAAATCATGAAAGAAAAAAAAAAGAATTTTCTTTGTGTTTGATATGCCCACACGAAGTCACGCTAATCAGAATGTGGGGTAAGGGAATGTATTATAAGGCACATTTATATTAAACTTCACGAATACCTCTGACAAGGAAGCAAGCATAGAAAAACCTGAGCGAGATTTTACAGGATGTACCTAGATAAACACAACCTTAAAGCAAAAAGGAAAGAAAGAAAGAAAATGGATGAACCTAAATACAACCGTATTGAACAACTCATGGGAAAACTAATTATTAAAAATGAATTTAATTATGATCAAAGTTTTCAAATCTAAAAAAAAACTCTCTCTCTCTCTCTCTCTCATTGGGCACGTTTATAAAAAAATTGTTCGATTTAACAAACGGGCATCATTTATAAGAAGAAATCCGTTACACTAACATAAAACATGTCGAGTAAGACTCCATTCTATCATTTCATAAGAACATCACCGTCGGTTTTTTTTATCATAGAAATATCATCATTATCGCGTTCGACTTAAAAAGAATTCTTCTTGATACAAAAAAAAAAAAAGATGTCGTTGGGGGATAATAAAAAAGTTTACAATTTAAACGTGGTTTAAGATGACTTTTGAAAAGAAAAAAAAATTACAAACATATCTTACTGTGATCTTATTGGTCCTCCATCCCGATTTACTTCCGGTCTCGAAAGCAAGAAAATGTTGATGATTGTCATCAATTCGTACTCATTCGTGTATTCTTACTCTATGACCTGAAAAATTTTGTATAAAACTATATAATATTAGCGAGGGGGACAAAAAACCATTTGCAAAAAATTGCATAGAATAAAAAAATAAAATTTCTTACCTGTAATTAAAAAATAATTTTTTTTTGTTGTTGTTGTAATTATTCGTAGTGAGATACGGGAAAAGATAAAAAGAACGTAACGAAATGCCGGAAAAAAATGTCGTTGTTTGTGAGATTGAGAAGTTCTCAAGTAACACTACAACGTCGACAAAGAAATTTATTGAAATGTTTAAAATTTTCAAGATGGAGCCTTCTTCCGTCCTTGTCCATAATGTTTCTCAGTATTGCCATTGCAAGCGTCGGATTTATTATTATTTTCGAAGTAAGTTTACTACGATTAAATTTTAACTTTAACCACCATAACGTCACTTCCTGTAAAAAACATTATTATTATTATTATTTTCTCCAAACAGGTAAAAATAACACAAAAAACTGGAATCGAAAACAAAGATGTTACAAAACAAGTATCATTTTCAACAACGACAACACCGCGAGGTAATTAGTATAATAATAATAATAATAATAATAATTCTTGTAAAAAAAAAAAAAAAAAAAAAAAATTTGTATTATTTTATAAAAACATAATGATGATGCTCGAGTGGGAAAACGATTTCCCCTTCCGTTCAATAAAAACGTTTCAACCCTTAAAACAAACTATTAATTTTCATTACCCCAGGGGGGTTAATCTCACGTAAAAAGGGGTTGAAATATATTACCATAGAGTTAATTAATTGAGAGACACGTTAAAAAAAATAATTTTTTAATCTCTCTCGTGATAAAAGTAAAAATTGTTTTTTTGTTTTCCCCCTACCTTCCTCCCTTCCTGCCTCCCTCCCTTCTTCCCTCCATTCCTTCCTTTCCAAGCGTGTTTTTAAATGTCTTTTACTGTCCCCCATCGAGAAAGAGGAAAAGGAGTGAGGGGGGGGGGCAAAACGAAACATTTCCTTTGTCAAAAATATTATAAATCAATTTTAAATATTCATTCACTCGATCGTCGTCCGATATTTTTCAATATGTCGTCCAATTCAATAATTTCCGTTACAAATTCATCATCATTTACAGATTCCCACATCTCGTAATCGGGAAGCAAAATCTGCGTCGAAAACCTTAAAAAAAAAAAATTAATACAAAATAATGATTTAAATGAATGAATGAATGAATTGTAATGATTATTATTATTATTATTATTATTTACAGGTGACTTTTTTAAAATAGGTGCTTTGCTTAGTAAAAGCACACCGAATGTAGAGCTTTTCGCGCAAGTAACATTAAATCAAATTTATAGTATGAATATAAAAAAAGATATATTAAATTATTACAACGTATTAAATGATTGCAAGGTTAAACGTAATTTGGAATGTAATAATTATACGCTTGTAGATAAATCGTTGGAAAGGATAAATTGGCCGTACCTTAAACCATGTTCACCCTATCCATCTAATCTAGGTACGAACAAAATTTTTTGATTTATTTATTTTTTTGTTCATCTCGTTGAATTTTTATTATGTATTTATGTATTTCGAATAAACAGTCGGACCCATGTTCGTACATCAAAGTCAACTATATAAAATAAATCAAATGGATCCGGAAATTTTATCGAAAATCAAACCGGGGGGTTGGTGGGAACCCTCAAATTGTTTATCTAAACATTCCGTTGCCATTATAATACCTTACAAAGATCGTTGGCATCATTTAACAACTTTATTAAATTTCCTTCATCCCCTTTTGCAAAGACAAGAAATTAGATATAAGTTATACGTCGTCGAACAGGTATTGTTTTTAAATGAAAATCGGGGGGGGGGAGGGGGGGAGAGTAACGCGACTCGTATTTAAAAAAATTTTATATGTATTTACAGTTCGGTAACGAAACGTTTAATAAAGGTATTCTGATGAACGCTGGTTTTCTAGAAGCTTTGAAAGAAGAAATTTATCATTGTTTCATATTTCACGATGTCGATTTGATACCGGAAAATGATCACAACATGTATACATGTCCGGAAATGCCGAGACATTTAAGCCCTGCCGTCAACGAACTTAATTACAAGTGAGTAAAAAAAAACTAAAAAGAAAAACTAAAAAGCAGAAGAAAATAAATAAAAATGTTTTTTTTTTTTTTCCCACCCTTCCCCCCCGCAGGTTACCTTACGCGCAATTAGTCGGTGGTGCTTTTGCAATAAAAACTGATCATTTTTTTCGCGTTAACGGTTATTCAAATTTTTATTGGGGTTGGGGAGGCGAAGATGATGATATGGGATTGAGGTTTGTAAATTATTATTATTATTATTAAATTTTTTTACCTTAATAATAATCCATTTCTTGTATATACATTCATCCATCATCATATTGTGTGTGTAGAATTGAACAAACTAATATGACCATAATCCGACCTTTACCGAACATCGGAAGGTACACAATGATAAAACACGTTAAAAGAAAACCATCCGATGTTGAAATACGTCACAGACTCCTATCGACATCTAAAAGAAGATACAGGTAAATCTCTATCATTATTATTAATCTTATATTTATTTATTTATTACATTTGATATATTTTGTTTTTCAGGTACGAAGGTTTGAATTCGGTAAATTATAAATTAATTAAAAAAACACAATATCCATGGTTCACGACGATTTTAATCGATATCGGTAAACCACATCCATCGTTTAAATTAAAAAAAAAACACGAATTAAAAGAAGAAAAAAATAATAATAATAATAAGAATAATAAGAATAAGTAATAATAATAATAATTTATTTATTATAAATTTATTTCATATCCTAACATCAAATAATCCTAAATTAAATGCAACCTAACGTAAAAATTTCCCTTAGTTGAAATTAAATCGGACACAAACTTCTATGCAATTCCGCCATATTGTTTTTTTTCTTTATCCCCTCCCGAAGAAAAAACCCCCACGAATAATATTTGAATTAAAAAGTTTTATCTCTCGTATAAATGAATACTTTTAACATGTACAAAGAAATATTTTCTTACCGTTTAATAAGCAAAATATTTTTAATTACTCGAGTTTCTCTTTTACTTATCGAAGATAAACAAAAAAAAAAAATGTCGAGAGAGCATCGAAATGTAATTATTATATAAATCGTGGCAGAAACGTTTTGCAACCGTACACGACACGCCGCCCACACTCAATCACGCGACATCTTAATTCTTAGAAACGTGTCAATAAATCAAAATTTATGTATTTACACAAAAAATAAAAAGATCAGTCGAGAAAGATGAATAATAATGAGTTACAGTCGGGGAATTAACTTTTATCTAGTGACACACATCAATTTAAACTTTGTTGTTATGTATATATATATATATATATATATATATATATATATATATATATATTAAATTTCTTAATGAAGTAAGATTTATTACATTATCATATTTTACAAAGCGGGGGGGGGGGTGATGCATCAAAGAACGAAGTTTTCCTTTGATGATGTTAATGTAAAATTAAAACAAATTTTATATTTGACAAAAAAGAAAATTGGAAAAATTTTAAACCTGAAAATTATAAAGCCTAACAAAGAATTGGTAACTTGGAAATGTGTGTGTGTGAGAGAGAGAGAGAGAGAGAGAAAATTAATAAAAAATAATAAAGATGTAAAGAAAAAAACTTGAAGTGTTGTTGTGGTTTAAAATCTCAAGAGAATTGAGAAGAAATAAATCCATGAGGTATTAAAAAAGGTTAGATAAAAAAAAACCTTTTAACCTGTTTTGGAAAACATACATTATTAAAAAAGAAAAAGTTTTAAGAGGGTGGGAGGGAGTGGGAGGAGGGGAAGTTTAAAATGTCAAGTCTATCTTCTACAGATGTCAAAAATAAAAACAAACAAACAAACAAGGGGGAAATTTTTTTGCCATTCAACCATAATCAAAACCTTATTTTAAAATTCAAATTATTTTATTATTACATTTAAAATGGGGAAAAATGAAGAAGAACACGTTTCCTTGATGAGGTATTTAGCATAAAAAAAAGAAAAGTTTTTTTAAATAAAATATTTTCCTCCCTCCGCCCCTCCGCCTCCCCCTCCCCATCAAAACTAATTTTAAAGCAGGTGGTGCTTGTCTAATCATTTTTTTTGTTATCGTATGAAAAGAATAGAAATTTAATACTACTACTACTTTGTATAATTTTTTCATTAACGAATGTATAACAAAAAAAATTAGATTTTTAATGCTTTTAATGCAAATTCTAAAGAAATTTAAATTATATATACTGTCATGGTCTCATTCGTTTATCTCTTCGCAACGTTAATCTCCTTCCACGTTCGTGTGATACTACTCTCTAAATTAGGACAATAAACGAATACAATTTTAGAGTAAGTAAGCAAAAGAAATGAAACGTTTAGGCCAAAACTACTTAATTATGTGAACAATATACTAAACAATCACCAATTTAGATGTTAGACACAAACCAAAAGATGTTTGAACTTGAACAGTAAGACAATCAGAAGAAAACCGAAGAACAAAGTACCAAAAGTACCTAGGAAGAACCAAAAAGAACCAAAGAACGGTTGCAAAGATGTCAAGCCACCTTTTATAAGTTGGGTTTTCTGTTACCGTTTTGTTTAGAACACACAACAATCTAAATTAAAAAAGACTAACGCTATTACTAAATAAAAAGAAAAAAAACAAATGAAAGAGTTTCTAGAAGCTTCAAGAAAATATAAAATAACTCTGTGTCAAAGAGTTTCTAGAACCTTCTACAAAGTATCTCTCTGTCCAAGAGTTTGTGTCTGTGATTTCCATTGTTACACTTTTGCTTACAAACAAAAAATATGAACGTTAAATATGAGAACAACATACATAACCGAATTATCTGGTACAGCGTGTCATGTTTCCATTAGTGGCAAATTTTTCTTTTTTTTATAAAGATATTATTGATAAGTTTAAATTAGTCCTTTTCTCATTATTTCAATTCATATTTTAGTCATCGAAAACTAATCTGATATTAATTGTATTTATTATTGTGAATAACCCTTACCTTTACATATATCTGTGACCATGTTTTTAATCAAGCAGGCAGCCGCCATGTTTAACCATGTTTTAATTTTGATGATGCAATATGAGATTTACAAATAAAATAATTTTGTTTTTCCTTTACAACTTGTTATGTTGTGGTAAACGAATCTATATTATATCTGTAATAAATTATGTGAAATGTGATTTAGATACACAATTTCAAACAATGTAATAATAATAATAATTTTGTTTTATATTTTAAGTGGATTGTTGAAAATTGAAAAAATACTTACCCAACACAAATTTTGACTCAAAAAAAAAATCTGAGACGTTTATAACCTTTAAAATTCTTCAAAAAACTTTTACAAAGAAGAAAACGTTAATTTAATATTTCATAAAAAGGTATTTTGTGTAATTTTATTGTTGCATGTGATTCTGTGAGAATACTGGAATGAGTTTAAGTAATGGCGTCCTAACGAATTTTTATTTCAATAAATGCTACAAAAAAAAATCAACGATTTTTTATATAATCATTCGAATTTTATTCGATTAACGACACAATTTAAATAAATCTCGTTAAAAAAACTTTTTATCAAGTGAATAAAATGATTATTTGACATTTTAAAAGTAATATCGAATGCATAACGGCTAATAAACCGTTAGATTCTCAAAAAAATTCAAATCAGATATATGACATTGAGTTATGAGTTTTCGATTGGATGATTTCAATATAGAAAATTTAAAAAATTATAATTAAATTTTATTTTTCGAATGAAAAAATCAATCAATCAATCAATATAATAACGATTGATTTGAATGAACTTATGAAAAAAGTATATTAATTAAAATAATTCATGTGATGCATTTATTTATACTAACCTTAAAAACTCATTTAAAAAAAAAAATATATCGAATTATTATTAATAATAAAACAAACTATAATAATTATTTCGTTAAATTTTTATAAATAATAAAAATATTTTTAATTATAAATAATAATAACAAAAAAAAAAAAAAAAAAAGAAATTAAATTTAACTTTAAACTAAAACAATTTCATCCACAACCGACGCTTTTGTAACGAATAAAAATTTTTTCGTTCTCGAATGTGTGACGTAATAATTAACCAACTACGTAATAGCAAAACAAAAATGGCTGACCGGTGGTTTGTTTATTCAATCAAAAAAAAATTATTTATTAATAATTAACAATTTTTAAATATATTATCTTATTTTAAATCGATGGTAAATATTTATTTATTAAAAGAAATTCTTTTTTTATTTGTAATTTAAATCAAATGAAATTCGAGGGATTAAAATTGTTTTTTTCATTTAAATAAATGAAATAATAATAATAATAATAATAACGTTAACGGATTTGTAATTATTTTTTAAATGATAATTTTTTCAATTATAAATCAATTAATATTTTATTACTAAACTAAATTACTTACCGTAATTTTTCTTACACAATATTATTCCTTGTTATTTCATTATTGTTTTAAAAAGGAAATTCCCCACCTCCCCCCCTTTTAATGAATATTAACTAAACTTCATTAATGATGTGATGAAACTCAAAAAAAACTTATTAATGGATCAATTTCATTTAAATTATTTATATTAATTAATTATTATTTATTTAAAATGTTTGTTTGTTTGGTTTAAACAAAAATAAAAGTGATGATGATAATTGAATGTTTTCATTTTTAAAAAAAGAAAAAATTTTTATTTTTTGGGGTCAATGTATTCTATTTATTTTATTTTAAAGAGATATTTACTCATTCAAATTATTTTTTTAAAAAAAAAAGAGAAAATAAAATCATGGCAATCAAGAGAAGAATATGTTTAAATGACAACAATAACAAAAAGAAAAAAATAGTGAAAGTATATATATATATATATAAAGTAACAGTACTACTATTTTAAATGATAGTTCAAATCTTTGTAAGTTGGTCAAAAATTTTAATAATTAAAAGTTTAATTTCTTTAATTAATTATTTATTCAATATGATTATCATTATCGTTTTCTTTTTTCCCAGTTATTTATTATTAAAATGACAAATCATATCCGAAATGTCATTTATTATAATTTTATTGGTTTAAACAAGGATTTAAATATTAAAAAATTATTGTTATGTTCCCATAAAAACGTTTATGGACGTTCTAAAAACTAAAAAAGAGTAACAATAGGTATCGAAATAGTAACGATGGGTACCAAAATAGAAGCAAACCTTCCAAAAGGTTTTCCTTTCTTTTGAGTTTTTATTATTCTCTCATTGTTGAAGCTTTTAGGGCGGTGAAAGTGCGATATGGGCACACATAAAAGAAGATGGAATCCCTGAAGAAATGGGGGTTCTTCTGATCCTGTCGTGTTCCGGTGACGTTCGTCCATCCAACAACTTTGGTACGATTCATTCATCCATCATCAATGTAGTGCAGTGACCGTGAAGTTACTCGGCATTTTTTAGAAGTGATCGACTTTCAGTTATAGCCCATACCGATTGAGAACATCTTGCTTGCTACAGTACAGAAAAGTAAAAGGAAAACTTAAATCTTCTTCTTCTAGTGTATTCAGACACGATAGAGTAATCATCACCGGAGACCTAGAGAGAAGAAAGAAGAAAAACGTGGTGGTGTTGTGCATCGACCAACGAGAAGAAGAAGAAGAACAAAAAGACAAACAAAGAAAAATAAATGGAAGAACATAACATCTCACACGTACTATAAAACTCCTAACTGTGAACAATATTAATAAAATAA